TTGTTGACGAATATTTTATAATTTCAACACAGAACGATCACAAATACGACATATTGGTCGTAAAGTACAACAGTTTGCATCATGGTCGTTCGTAAGTGAAATTGACAATTTAATTCCGTTCAAAAGGGTGCTAGCGTACTGTAGAGACGACCTCATAATCTTAGCTCAGACAAACAAAAGATGCAAAACAGTTCAATATATCGAAGAGAAAAGGCACAATAATGTACAATAAGTAAAAATCCACACGTGAATAGAGAACTACAAAAATGGCGGCTCAAATTCAAAAGCCCGCCTGCTGTTTTTGCGATGCGTAGGTTTTTGCGGACGCAACTTTTATACATTTTGCATAGAACGATTGCAAATGCGCCAATTTGGGTAAAAGGTGAGGCGGTTTGCATCATGGACATTTGCCAGTGAACGCTAGGATTAAATTTTCTTCAAATGCATGTCAGTGTACTATAAAGAATACCTCATTATCTTAGTGCAGACTATTAAAAGATGTAAAGCACTTCAAAATATCGAAGGGAAATCGACAGAGTAATGTAGAATTTAAATAAATCCGCACGTGAATGCAGATCAACTAAAATAGCACTTAAAAATTAAAAATCCGTCTGCGGAGTGTTGTGTGATGTTATTTGTGTCTGGGATATGCAGATATCAGCGGTGTGTAGAACTTTGACAAAATACCAGTGTTTCCAGTTTTGTCTATGGCTTTTTTAATGGAATCAAGTTGACGTCCATAGCCATTTATTGGCAAAATATTACATTAAACCACGTTTATTTAAAACGACAAATCAGAACATGCCTTACGGTTGAGCGAAAGCACATGTTTCTCAGACATTCGTTAGGAGCATTAATTGTACAGCTACTCCCAGCTAAATGTTTGAACAGTTAGCAAGCATAACCAAAAGGGGCACCTACACAAAAAGGGATGCTTAACTAAGTCATTTCAATGATAAATTCCGCACACAAGTGTTAATTTTAAATCCATAATTGACGAGATTCTCCATGACTTTGTCAGGTCCCTTCAAACTGTGAAGCCCCTCTATGAACGGCCCATATTAACTGACAAGACCCACGAAAGATTGTAATTCCTTTGCATTCTGTGGGGTTTTTATGCTCTGAAATGGCAGTACTCTCTCGGGATCCGGTGCCCTTCCGACTGCATTTATTATGAATCCGAGATACTGAATTTCTTTCCGCACAAATTCGCCTTTTTGCATTTTAATTTTAAAGCCATAATTGACGAGATTCTCCATGACTTTGTCAGCCTTTCTAGTAATGCCTCCTCCGAGCGACCAACTACTAGAATGTCGTCTAAGTACGCAACCGCTCCCCGCGTATCCGTAAGCATTGTATCCGTAACCTTCTGAAAAATGCTTGGAGCCGTCTTAATGCCGTAATTTAGCCGCGTAAAATTGAACATACCGTTTGGAGTGTTGATGGTCAGTAGCTCCTGCGATTCCTCCTCCACTTCTATCTGTAAACAGGCTTCTGAAAGATCAATTCGTGTAAATGACTTTTCACCATTTAACTTCGCAAAAATGTCCTCCACTGTCGGTAGAGGATGGTGTCAATCCTCCAAAACATCGTTTAATCCCGTCGAATAGTCAGCACACCGTCTCCTGTTCCCATTTGCCTTCCTAACCGCTACAAATGGCGCTGCCCACGCGGAGTAATTGGTGGGGTAGATGATCCCCTTCTCTTGTAAAGGTTTCAACTCTTTCTCCACGTCTTCCTGGATTGCAAACGAAACTCGACGACATTGCCTGAAAGGCGGTTTCTTGTTTGGTTTAATGCGTAAAACTGCTTTCGTTTTGGTACATTTCCCGACTGACTTTTCCATCATTTTCGCATGCTTCTCCCGCAGAATCTGTTCCGTTCCTTGAACTGCGCAGCAGATTCCATCAAATGGCTGACTCCATAACCCCAACTCGGAGACTGTCTTATTTCCCAGGAGGTCGATCGGACACACCGATACGAAGACGTTATCTAGACTATTATCATCCCCAAATCCGATTCTTTGAATTTCATTTTCATTTGAATTTCATTTTCGTGCCGTTTGATACCCTTGCAGTGACAGGAGTTGGGATAAGACTGGGTGCTCCTATCATCTGCGATGTTTCTAACGCTATAATCGTCAGATCAGACGCTGGGTCCACTTGAAGCCTGACAGCTTTCTCAATTATGATCTCGGTTAGGTATTTTCGGTGTTCACAGCCTAGCGCCCGTGCCTCACCATCAGAAACGGCGTTGCACTGTTTTCTAAAACTTTGCCGTCCTGCTCTACAGTATGTCGATTTGTGGCCAAATCTCGAACATTTGAAACAATTCTGCGTTTTATAGGGGCGGTCGATAGCATAGTGCCCTCCTCTGCACTGCCAGCAGGCAGTATTTGGTCTTCCAGGAAATGTTTCTCTCTGTAGCGGCCAGTTTTTCCTAATATCCAACACCTGCAGCTGTAAGTGTTTGTTTCGGCAATCAGCTTTGTATTCTGTTTGATGTTTCTGAGTCTAAACTATTCATCTGCTAATTTTTGTACAGTCGTGTAACCATCCTGATCCAGTTTGGACAGCACCCGCTTGCTTATGTCCGCTTCCTCCGGTAGAGTAAGTGATTTTATGAACAACAGGGCCTTAACCTGGTTTGCTGTTGCTTGCTCTAGATCAGCCTGTTGGTACATATCATTTAGTCTGTCTGCCAAATCAAAATAGTCTACGTCTGCCCTCTTCTCCAATTTATAACATTTTAAGCGTCTGTTGAACAATGACTGTGACTAGGTGAATAAGACTTTCAGGTTCCTCACCGTCTCCGGGAATTCGATTTCGGTCGGTTTCTTCGGTAGGACGAATTTGACATACTGTTCGTGTTCCATTCGTCCAAGTTTCAGCAACATAATTTCCACGTTTTCTCCGTCAGCATGAATTTTCCCCTCTCTTTCGAACAGTATTTCATATTTTTTGAACCACATATCGAACTTAAAACCGTAGTCAGGGTCGTAGGTGAATTCTGTGATCCTGTCCTCCAGCCACTTGGTTCTGTCACCGTTTCCTCCCTGCTTCCAGTCCCTCTGCATTCCTGCGAGAAGAGCCATATAACTGGCTTGCTGTGCTTCCAACAATTTCAGCATCTGTTCTTCACTGATCTTTTTCCGTGTTCACCTGCGTCGCCACTTGGTATATCTCCAATAAGCATGACGTCATTTCTGTGCGGCATAGAAGACAGACAGGATTGGATCGAACAGCTTTATTGTGTCAGTCACCCTGTATACTTCAACGCTTAATCCTTCCGTGGCTTCGTATTTAAGGGTTCAGCCTTCGTCTGATTTGCGTGTTCCTATTGGTTCACTCCTGAGGGCCCGCATGGACCGGCCTTTGCATGTTGCTGATCCCTGGAGGGCGCGCGTGACTCAGCGGCGTGCTAATGTCTGGCTCGCATGCGGGCTTCCTAGGCGAGGCTGTCCTGCCGGTTTGCGCTTCTTTGTCAGGCGTGACCTCCGGATGACAGGAACGGTGCGTCATGTTCAGGGCCGTTCTAACACATCAATTGTCAACATTAAGGTTATAGGACTAAGCAGACTTTATCGCAATTAATTTTCGCGTCTGATGCTAGCCGCCCAAAACCACGTTTTGATCCTACAGGATGTTTATTGGACAATCAGACAACTTTGAAAGTAGCATTGGCAAACCAGTGCAATTTCACCGCTAACGGTGCACTTATAACGAACAAAGATACTTCTTCGTTTAAATGAGACAAAATCGCTCTTCCATTTGGAAAACACTACAATGCGGTACTTTTCTTGCAGCCCAGTTTCTGCGCAAGCGTAATTTATAAACGGGACCAGCGAAACAATACAAGTTGCTCCATATTAAAATATTAATATGGCATTCTGTTGTGGAGTCATAACTGTATCTTGAAACCTAAAGTAGAAGAGTGATAGTGTTGTAAATTGTAATGTTCTCACGAAATAACGATCTATATCTCACGGGCTCCTAGCCTTAAATTCAGCAAGTAAGTCGGAGCAATGCATAATATAGCGATTTTTGAACGTTAAGAAAACTGACAACAGAATACCACAGCAGAGCGCGCTAGCAATGCGGGTTGTGCAGGTGTGTCGTTTCTCGTAACATTCAAGCAAGCAATGCGGTCAAAGAAAATGGGACTAAATTGTCAAAGGTAAATTAGTCAGGTACCTCACCACAGTACCCCCTTCTAGATCGGAGGGCGACGGGATACGGCGCCGGAGGATATGCACAAGTCTAGAAAAATGCGTAACTAAACGATCGGGAAAATGAACGTGACGGCCACTGCGAGTTATGTATGCAGGAGGTACAGTCGAAGAGGGTTGACTGCGTGCTGCGGTGGACGATGGTGTTGCAGTTGGATGCTGTTGACATGTAGGGAGAGGAAGTATGCGGGACGGAGGGGTGGAGGGCAAGGGCAAGGCAGTGGGCAGGGTGAATGAGCATGGGATAGGGAAGATGGAGGAACAGGGGTTGTGGGGTAAGCACATTTTTGTCATTGTGACCTGTCCGGCGGCTCCTCTGCAACCGCAGCCTTGACCCGATCGACACCGACCACGTCCTCCTTGTCACTGCGAAGGATCCGGAAGGTATAGGTGTTGCGCGCGAGCACGCGGAACGGTCCTTTGTATGGTGATTACAGCGGCTGGCGCACACGGTCACGCCGAACAAACACATGAGTACACTTGTCCCAGTCTTTTTCGACATAAGACTCAGTCATTGGAGTTCGCGGTGGAACCGGGGAAACCGAACGCATAAATTGCCGCAAACGGTCAAAAGATTGTCAGGAGTCTCGTCGGCTCCATCAGAGGTTGGGGTGATCATCTCGCCTGACAGTCGGAGGGTAGTGCCGAAAACCAATTCAGCTGCGCTACAGCCCAGATCCGAATTCAGAGCTGCGCGGATGCCGAGGAGTGCAAGACGAAGGCTGTCCGACCAGTTTCCTGGGTCTTCGACGGCACGCAGGTTGGTCTTTAGCTAATGGAAACGTTCCACCATACCGTTGGCTGCTGGGTGGAAGGCTGTCGTCCGAATGCGTGTGCAGCCAAGGAAATTGAGTAGTGTTTGGAAGGGTGCCGACTCAAATTGGGCACCACGATCAGTCGTAACCGTGGATGGGGCACCGAACATGGCGACCCAACGACTGACGAAGGCCTTCACGATGATTTCAGCCTCAACATTCGGCAAAGGAATAGCTTCAGCCCAGCGAGTATATCGATCGACACAGATAAGGACGTAGGTGAAACCATTGGATGGCCTACGACATCCAGATGAACATGGCTGAACCGTGCGTCGGGACTGGGGAACGTGCATGGTGGGGACTTGTTGTGACGCTGCACCTTGTTGCGCTGGCAGCTCAGACACGACCGGACCCAAGCTTTGACGTCCTTGTTCATCCGAGGCCATAAGAACCTTTCCGCGAGGAGCTTCTGGGAGGCTCGAATCCCAGGATGGGAGAGTCCGTGGAGAGTTTGAAAAACAGCTCGACGCCTCGAGGCAGGCACATAAGGGGGATGAAAAGGAGTCGATACGTCACAAAGGATTGTGCCAGTGCCGGTGGTCAATGGGACGTCAACTAATTGAAGACTGTCAACAGACTCGTCGCCAGGGCATCCAACACGTCGTTGTTCAGCCGCCATAGCACGAAGATCAATCCCGTGTGAGAGGTGAAACGCCGAGAGGGAAGGTCTGGACAGCATGTCGGCCACCGCATTCTTCGGGCCATCAATGTGGCGGATGTCTGTAGTGAATTGCGAGATTTAATCCAAATGAGAAATCTCTCTCGGATTATATTTGTCAGAATGGGATCGGATGGCAAATGTAAGTGGTTTGTGGTCTGGGAAGATTGCGAAGTCACGACCCTCAAGGAAGTGTCGGAAATGTTTTACGGCTAGGTAAATGGCAAGAAGTTCACGGCCAAACGTGTTATATCTCGTCTCGGCAGGTGAAAGCTTCTTGGAGAAGAATGCCAACGGTCGTGTCGAGTCGTTGATATGCTGTTGGAGGACTGCTCCTACGGCAACGGTCGAAGCATCAACCATCAGGGACAATGGGGCTTCTGGCGCAGGATGAGTGAGCAAGGTAGCATCAGCAAGGGAGGTCTTTATTCTCTCAAAAGCAGTCAGCGCGTGGCCACGTAACTCAAGGGGAGCCTTGGGACCAGAAAGCAAGTTGGTGAGTGGCAGCATAAGGTCGGCACAGTTTGGTAGGAACCGGCGATCAAAGTTTACCGTGCCAGGGAACGTTGGAACTGACGCTTGGAGGTTGGTGGAGGAAAGTCACAAAAGGCCTCAACCTTGGAAAAGAGGGGACGCAAACCTTGTGCATCGACATGGCCACCAAGAAAATTAAGTGACGGCACACCCAGAACACATTTCGAAGGGTTAATGACCACGCCAAACTGATCGAGGCGGTCAAACACTAAGGCAAGATACTCTTTGTGTTCCTCGGCATTTCGACTGGCCACCAAGAGGTCATCGATGTAGGCGTACACAAACGGGAGACCACGTAGGACTCGGTCAATGAACCTCGGAAATGTTTGGGCAGCATTGCGAAGACCAAATGGCATGCGAATAAATTCGAACAGGCCGAATGGTGTGGTGACGGCAGTTTTGGGAACATACTCAGGAGCGACAGGAATCTGATAAAAGGCCCGAACAAGGTCAATCTTCGAGAAAACCGATTTGCCGAAAAAAAGCTCCAGCAAAATCTTGAAGATGAGGGACGGGATAACGATCCGGGATGGTCGCATTGTTAAGGGCGCGATAGTCACCACAGGGCCGCCAGTCGTCTGATGTCGCCTTGGGCACCATATGCAGAGGGGACGCCCATGGACTCTCGGACGGGCGAATTATGCCCAGTTGCAGCATGTGCTCAAATTCGGCCTTCGCCGCTTCCAGACGGGACGGAGCCAGTTGTCTAGGCCGTGCGAATACTGTGGGGCCAGAGGTGCGAATGTGGTGGACAACGTCATGTTGGATCTCACCACTGCGAAGCTGGGGTTTGATTATGTTTGGGTGTTGGAGGAGCAGGTCTCGGCATAGGCGGCCAATACCTGTGTCCAGAACAGATAAATTGCCGGAGTCATTAAAGGGTGTAAGACCGCGGACAGAAAGACCAGTTGTGCGGTCGAGGAGACAGGAACACCGACAGTCAACAAGGAGATCAAACTCGGCAAGGAAGTCGGAACCAAGGATCGCATGAGGCACATCGACAATCACAATTATCAAGGAGAATGATCGACGTAAACCAATGTTTATGGTTAGTGAACGACTACCAAAAGTGGAAATGGGGGAACAGTTTGCAGCTTTGAGATGTAGACCAGGGCTGGAACAGCGGCGGTCAACTGAAGAGGGGGGAACCACGCCGATCTGGCCTCCGGTTTCCACCAGGGAACGCCTGCGAGTCATACTGTCGCAGACATAAAAGGTGCGACCAGAGCTGGGTGAGCCAGAGAAAACGGTCGCCTCTATTTTCTGGCTGGCTGCTTTCCCTGTTTCGGTTTAAATGAACAAAGGGAAGAACATTTCACAGCCTTGACGGCAAAGTTTGCGTGATACCAACACAAATTGGCTGTGCGAGGTCGCGAACGTGAACGATGACGGCTGGGTGAGCGACTACAGGTAATGCGAGCAAGCTGTAGTTTTAGGGAGGCTATCTCATTCGCCATAGC